ACGTTCCAGTCTTCCTTCAACTCAGGAGTAGTGCCAGAGGACTGGAGAATTGCAAATGTTATGGCCTTATTTAAACAAATACAGTGTAAGGAGAAGCCAAGTCAATTTAACTTCACAGTTTGGAAACTTCTAGAAATAATAATTCAAGGCAAACTTAAAAGTCACATAAACAAATGCAGGTTGGTTAAGGTGTGCCGGCATGGATTTCTGAAAGGAAAATCATTTTTAACTGATTTATTGGTGTTTTTTGAAAGAAGTAACAGAGAGGCTTGATTCAGATAAAGCTATATATGTGTTGTACCTGAAATTCCAAAAGCCATTTGATACAATACCACATGACGGACTTACAAATAAAGTAATAGCGCACAGAATGAAAGGCACAGTAGCAACACTGATATAATATTGATTATATGATAGGAAACAAAACGGTTGGATAAAACATTGGTTACTGAAATGGTATTTGAGCTGGAGGCAGGTTTGTAATGGACTTTCTCAGGGTCAGTGTTGGGACCTTTGTTTTTCCTAATGTATATTAATCTGATTATTAGATTTTGTTGTACAGGGCACAATTTCAAAAGTTGCAGATGATGAAAGCATTTTGAACTGTGTATAGCTTAAAATGGACATAGACAAGTTGGGGTAATGTGTGGGACAAATAGCATGTGAAATTCAATATAGAGAAGTGATAAGTGTTACACCTCACTGGGGTAGCGCACTGTAAATCAAGCCTCACTATTCCTAGAGTCATCACAAAATATACAGGTACACAATATTCCCAATATATCATTTAGACCCTGGGTGAAATGAAATACCAGGTTTCTGTACTTAACAAGAATTACTGTTTATTACAAATCGTTTCTAACTACAGATAAACTATTATGAATGAACAACATACAACTCAACTGATTCAATCTCTCACCCCCTTAAAAAAACAAATCACCCCATGTATACGACAGCAGGATTATTGGCAGATGGAAACACCTGGAAGGCAACTCAATGACCCCTGCTTACAGGGTTTTCTGAGATGATTCTTTTGCCTTGTCAGGACTTGCTGGTCATGAAGCTTCCTGTCCAGGTACTTTTATGTGTTTGCAGGAGGCACAGTGTGACTGACTCTTACTTATAAAGTCTCTGATTTAGTGCTTAAAAGTCACAGAAAGACAGCAACAAATGAGGGAAATAAACTAGCTTCCTCCAGGCTTACGGTGTTTTTACTGCAGAGAAAAGGATAGTTCCTTCTTTTTGGAAGGTACAATAGCTTCTATCAAAGTATTCACACTCACAAGCTGTTCAGTTACCTGGAATCCAGTTGCATTGTTCTTGGCAAACGTTTGTTATTGACAACTGGTCACCATTCAGCTTTTTGTTGCCAGTCAAATTCCCTTTGCACACTCATCTGACTCCAGCATGTCTGTGGTAATCTCCCCAATGTTTGAGCAATGTTTTAGCAGGTCAAACAATACTTATGATGAATGTCAGGTCATTTGCTTTTAAAGCCTGCAGTAATCTTTTCACAGTCTTTGGTTTTTAAACAGTTCTGTCACCGTTTCAGTCCACAATAAAAAACACGGAAAAATAAGAAGATACCGTCTTCACACTGGAAAAACATGGAAAGACAATATTAAAACAAGGTGAAATTCTAAAATTGACCCAGAAGCAAAGGGACATATTTATATGTACATAAATTATTGAAGGTGCAGGGCAGGTTGAAATCATGGTTACATATACTTAGAATACAAATGTACAATATATTTATTAATGGGAGCACAGAGTGCAAGAGCAAGGAGTTTATGTTAATCTTAAAGGAAATGTTGATTCAACCTAAACTGGAGTATTGTTTTCTGTTTAGAGAACACTTTTGGAAAGATAGGAATTCATGCAAAACCATGGAGTAAAGATTGTTATGAATGGCTCAAGGGATGAGGGATTTGAGTTATGTAGTTAGTTTGAAGAAGTTGGGATTATGTGCCTTGGAGAAGGAAGGTTGAGAGATTTGAAAGATATATTCAAAATCAAAAGCAGTCTCTTCCGGTAGGAGTGTTCAGAATGAGAGAGCAGAGATTTAATTGGCAGAAGAACTGATGGAGACATGAGGACAGTTTCCTTTCATGCATTGTGTATAGGCTGCCTGTGATTGTGGTGGAGACAGGCAATCAAGGCCAAGAATTAGATTATTATATGAAAAGGAAATGTGCAGTTTACAGGAAGAAACTGGTGAAGTGGCACTAGTTACATTGCTCATTTGGAGAGTCGGTGTATGGCAAGCCAAATGGCTTCTTCTGTGCTGTAACAGTTCTGTCACGTTTACCATGATAGAGTGAAACACAAATTATACTTGAATGGAAAGCTGTGGGAGTTGCATAATGTAACTTTGAACAAGATTTTCATTTATATAGCACTTCCTAATCTTCAAAATTCTTAAAGTACATTACAGCCTGTAGTATATTTTGAATACATTCACATTTTCAATAAATGAATATAAACATACTAAACATGATCATTTTATTCTCTTTTATCTGGAAATTATTTGGATTCTTAACCCTAGCTGTAGTGATTGTAACAAGGTCAGCCAGATGGACCCCATAGAATATGAGTTCCCTGATCAGGACTGTTAATTTGGTCGAATCAGAGTCCTGGCTGACACATATAAACAAGAGTGTCAGACAATTTGTTCACTCTGAGGGAGCTGGATAAGTGACAAGGACTCTCCACTTGTAAACAGAGGTTGACTTGGTGACGGGACACCAGCTTCTGTGGAGTTATTTCACTAGCAAACTTCTTTAACACAGATTGTGAATTTTTGTAATTAACAGAATAAAAGGCCATTAATAAAAAACTGCTTGCAAACCATGATACTTTGCAAGGATGTAAATAATGCAGACTGAATTTTGCTGGTTGATAGCAAAAATAAAAATAAATTAAGTCACTTTGAATATTTAATGGAAACACTTTCATGATTTTCCTTTCTTGCCAACATGTATATTTACAGCTTGAGACATTACTCCGCCATGTTGGCAGATCTTTATCTTGCTCCCTTCCACTGATGACAGACCTAAAAAAAAATGAGCCAGTCTGGAGATCCAACCTTTCCCAGTTCAGTTCCAACATTTTCCACTCATTGTGCTACAAATCTAGTAACAATCCTGTCAGTGCCACTAGTCCCATGCCTTCCTTCATCTTGATAACTCTCATCTGTACTGTCAACCATGATGTACCAGCCTGATAAATTTAGCAAAGCATTCTCACCATATATCATCAACATTGAATGTCTAAGAGTTAAGAAACAATTTAAAGACTAAAAGGGTACATGTAACAGGAAAAACTATTTGGAAATGAGTATAGTAGGATTTGATTGCAGCAGTAAAGAAGTCTTACTGCAGTTATATGCAGCCTTCATGAGACCACATCTGGAATAGTATGTGCAATTTCGGTCACCTCACCTGCAGAAAGATGCAGTTGCCGTAGAGGGATTACAGCAAAGGTTCACCAAATTAATTTCTGGGAAATAGGGATTATCCTATGAGGTAAGATATGGAATTGTTTTTGTTTGCTCATGATATGTGGGCATTGCTGTCCAGGCCAGTATTTATTGCCCATTTCTAATTGCTTTGGAGAAGGTGGTGAGATGCCTTCTTCAACCCCTGCATTCCTTCAATGTAGGAGCATTTACTATGCAGTTAGGACAGTTATAAACTAAGCCAAGTTTAGTTGCCTGTATGGCTGGTTTGCAATACAGAGTGACACCAACAGTGCGGATTTAAGTCTCATACCAACTGAGGTCCCCATGAATGGCTCAACTTTTCAACCCCGCTGCTTGTCTGATGTGTAGTGACTCTCAGGTGGAACTCACCACCTCCAAAACCAGAGGACATGTATGAGGAATTTGTTCACTCAGAGTGTGGTGAATCTTTAGAATTTTTGCCCTAGAGGGCTGTGGAATCATAGATGTCGAGTATATTCAAGATTGATATTGATAAGTTTCTATATATTAAGAACATCAAATGATATGGAGACAGAAATGTAATGAAGCAAAATGTTAGCAATGACCTCTTTGGAAACAGGAATGGGATAAAAAGACTGACCCACAGCTGCTCTTATTTCTTACTCCCCAGCACTGGTAAACTTCATCTAGAACAGTGGAAGAGTAGCACCAAAAGCTTGGCTGACCTAACAACTAATTAAGAGGTTTTTCAAGGCCATATTCAGATTTTGGCCATGGTGCAGCGGCTGAATTTGGGGTCAGGAAATAGAAGGTGAATGCACATCATGAAACTCATCATGGGTTATGTGCAGAGGAGATCTTGGCTTACAAGTACCATAGAGTCAGTGAAGGTTGCAGAAAGACTTCATGATGCGTGGTCAGCATGAAGGCAGCAGCTGGCAATAGGGGAAATGGCTGTCAGATGTCAGGTTCAGAGGTAATGAGAAACATCACCATAGGAAGGGTGGAGGCCTAGCACAATGAAGTGAAGGGAGAGGAATGGCCGTGAGGATATTGAGACCATGTCTCAGCATAAGATCTACTACTAAAGATTGAGCAAATATGGGATGACTGAGAACTGTGGCACTCCAGGCAATTGGTCAGTAAGATTTACATGCAGAAAGCTATACACCTCACAGCATATCATATGTCTTGCTATTTTCTGTCAGTAGCCATCAAAGTCATTGTTTACTGAAATCTAGGCAAAGTAGAAAGTGTACCATCATTTGCACAACTTTGTTAATCCAAATCTTCAACTTCTGCTGTGCCAACAACTCAACAATATAAATCTAGCCCAGTGGTTCTTGCATAGCTGCTGTTCCCAGCATCTAAAAATCAAACTATTTTAGTGGAGTAAACTAAGTAATTATACAAGGCCAATCGTTGAAATAAAATTGCATTAATGACAAATGGTTAACAATAAATGGCTGGGTCACAGTGAAAATAAAATTTATCTCAAAGGTCAAGGTAACTGAACCAGAACTCAAGCTAATAAGTTTAAAGCTTTTTTTTCTTATAGGTTATGTTTTCTAGTGCAAGACATGTATGGTTTGTTTGGTGAAGTTCATCATCATACATTCTGCTCATTGGAAGAGGACTTGCAGGTGCAAAATGCCTGCTGGGAAGGAAAGGCATGCTACCTAACGGGAATGAAGGTTCTACAGAGAACAACAAGAGGGAGGTAAGCATCCCAAAAATGTGTTTGCATTAAAGGATCCTATACTTTTAAGGTGTTATTTCTTGCAAAATAATCAGATTTACAGTGCACCAAAGAATTCCTGGATTCTCGATACTTTTGATCCATATGACATGTAAGATCTTAGCCTTGAAATTACAGTGTTATTGATGGCAAAGCTGTCATATTTTATAGGCCTGTTGGCTTAGAATGTGTAACATTAGTAGTACTATTGACAGTACTACTGGCATTTGTGATTTGTGCATGATATTGCTTAGACATACGATCTGTTGGTGTATAGCTTTTCTTCGTGGGTCTCAAAATAGCACAGAAGGTACCATTTCAAAGTTAGTGCAATTGGAGATATAGATTACCACTTTATAGTGGGAAGGCAGTTAATCATAAATCATGTTGATCCTTGTACTTTACCCTCAAGAGTAAAGAGATTTAGGAGTTATCTAATTAGAACAAAGTTTGAAGTTCAGAACGGTAGATGACTTATGTAGACGGACGTTGTAATGTGTTGCCAGTTTATGATGTCACCATATAATAACGCTATTTGGCTGAACATCCTATGTTCATATTATTTTGTAGGTTAAATGTGCTGCTTTATGCCAAGAAGGGTACAGGAAAATTAATCGTTTAACTCATGCCATATTCTTAATGTTAAATGCTAAATGCTAACTACTTTGGTAGTTGTTTAAATATATAACCAGCACCACGCATTTGTCAGGTAAAAGGCTTTAGCAGCTTAGTATGCTCATCATACTGCATCTTACTTAATGTTTGTGTTTATATGTACGATTAAACAACGTGTTTTAGAAACTTAGCTGATCAATAATTTAAGCAAATAATTTCTTACTTCATGCCAATTTGTTCAGTAAGGTTTATAATGATTTATGATGTCTTGCCTGGTAAAATAAAAGCTATGACAATAATCATGTGAACTACTGCAAACATAATGAGATTCTGTTATAAATCAGGTCTCAAAAGGGTTCCTTTGAAACGTAATATAACAGAAATGGCTGTCAATATTGTACATTGAATTCGACAATTATTCGAGATTTGGTAAAGATTTAGCTACAGTAGCCTAATTCAATAGTGCTATTTTTTGGATCGAGATTGAAATATGTCATGGCAATACACGTTGATTTGTTGTTTCTGGAGAAGAATGTAACGTAAAGTCGTCATGGTCCCAGAGGGCAATAGGGTTGCTTTCTCATTGGAGCGAGATGACTGGTGGTGACTTTAACCTGAGGGTCACCACACCTCAGGTGAGATTGAGAAAGTGGGTACCTCATGGTATCTCAGCTGATGCAGGAATTGAACTGCGCTGTTGGCATCGCTCTGTATGGCAAACTAGCCATCTAGCCAACTGAGCAAACAGATTAGCCAGCAAACAGACTCTTGAAAGAGATTGTGATCCTGTGTGCTATGTCAAAATTTAATTTGTTACTGACAAAGGGATTCACATATACGTTGTTTAGCCGTAACTGCAGTCACTGACTGTCCCTGAATTTGTGGGCAACATCAACTCGGTGTCATCGGTTTCAACCATGGGTCTTGATAGAAACTGGGTGATTCTCATCCTGTAGATGTTGGGACGCATGTGGCAGGTAGTCCCAGGAGGTAGCAGGATATGGAGTGCAGGACTTGCTTCCTTCTTTTTCTCTGTATGCTGTTGTACCTCACCATTGAGATGTTGGGAGTCAAAGCATGATGCAGCTCGATGGATAAGTTGTTACCATTCTGAACAATTGGCAGAAAGGTCATCCCAATCATTAACGTCAATGTCACCGAACTTAGAGAGTCTGAAAGTATCTTTGAAATGTTTTCTTTGTCCTCCTATGCAGGGTTGATCATTTAAGAGCTGAGAGAACAGTACCTGCTGGGGAGAGGATTTTTGCCCATTAGGCACAGTTTTTAGTCTATCAACATTGACTTTGCAGGTGATTTGCCTGAATGTTTGTGTATTTAGCTTCAAGAAGGTCAGTAGTGCATGTTTGACTGTCTGTTCATTATAGCTGCAGTGGGGACATTTCTGGTGGAATTTCTCTAGCACTCTTACATGTTGCAGATACTCATAACCCAATTCTCACTGCAGGCGTGCTGTGACAGTAACTACTGTGTACGCTAGGACTTTTTGTTGACTTAGAAAAGTTTTTATTATCAGACATTCACTATCATGGTTTGCAGAATGCTGAGTTGACAAAACTTGATTGGATTGTTGGATCTTTTATTCGATGGTGGCCTTTTGGGAGATATAGCTGCCAAGGTATATGAAATGCTTGATGTATTGCTAAACTCTCTACTTCACCAAAAAGGGGAGGTAAAATATTTGGCTGACCAGATGTAGATTGATATTAGTTTTGTTGTGGCAATATTTAAGGAAGGATCAAATTTTTCTTTGTAAAATCAAAGAGATTAAGTTTGGCTTTGAAATCTGGTGAAGAGTGGGCAACAACACTGAACTCATGGATGTCAAAGGAGGCATGTTTTGTACAGAGTCATCTGAGGTTAATAAGTTCTCCATCTAGACACATTTGATACTTCAAATGTTAGAACACTTATAGATAATCTTAGCAGTGATTGGCAAGACAAGAACCGCAGTCATATCCAGTAAACTGTCAAGACTCCAATTTGACATTGCATCACTCAGTGAGGCTTTATATCTCGGGTTGGGCAGCTAAGAGAACAAGCTGGGAATTTCCCTTCTTCTGAGAGGAAAAGCTGACAGCAAACATCATGTTCACGTAAATGATCTTGCTATTCATTAATTCATCTTAGATGTAGTTTCAGAACTCACCAACTGTATAAATGAAAGACTCCTAACACTTTGCATCCAGAACCAAGATACCATCTTTGATTGAGATGAAGGTGTTGAGAAAATATCTATTCTGACATTCATTTCAAAAGAGGAAAACTTTATTGTTCTTGGGGCCTTTTTTTGACAAGGTTTGTTGTGACCTGCGATTATTTAGTGTGGAAACACAGAGAAATAAAGGAGAGAAAATACAATTATAATGACGTCCACCTACTGACAAAGTATGCTCAGCATGGCCTCATTAAAACAAACATATCCTTCCACCACAAAGACAAATATAAAATCGCAGGAGGCTTCCTGTATCAAAGCACTGGCAGATCCAGAATTATGTTGTTTGGATAAAACATCTGAGTGATGTCAGTATCACTCGAACCACACATGGGACTGATGCCTTGTATAAGGCCTTAAGATGTAGGAACAGAAGCAAGCCATTCAATCAGTTGAGTCTGTTCTGGCATTCGCTGACATTCTGACTGATCTGAAATTCCTCAACACCACTGCTTTTTCAAATTGCCCTTGATTCTCTTGCTGATTAAAAAATGTCAATCTTAGCCTTGAATATACTTAATGACCCAGCCTTTGCAATCCTCTACAATAAAGAATTCCACAAATTCATTACCCTCTGTGGGAAGAAATTCCTCCTCATCTCCGGCTAAAACAGGTACCTGCTTCTTCTGAGACTATGCCCTCTGGTCCTAGACTCTCCCACCTGTATCTGCCCTGTCAAATCACCTAAGAATCTTGTATGCTGTAATAATGCCACCTCTCATTCTTCTAAACTCCAAAGAGTGCAAACCCAGTCAACTCAACCTTGCCTCATGAGACTGTCCCTCCATATCCGCGATCAGCTTAATAAATCTTCTGTGGACTGTCTCAATACTGGTATATCATTCCTTAGATAAGGGGGCCCAAAACTGTTCACAGTGTTCCATCTGTGGTCTGACTAGTACCTAGTAAAGTGTTAGCAAAACTTTCCTATTTTCTACTCCATTCACTTTTAAATAAAAGTCAATGTTCTATTTGCCTTTCCTGTTACCTTCTGAACTTGTATGCTAGCTTTTTGTATGTCCCACAACTCCTAAATCCCTCTGCAGCTTTTTATAGCCTTTCTTCATTTAATTGCCCGTAGTGTCCAGGGATATTTAGGTTAGGTAGGTTAGACGTGGGGAAATGCAGGGGTAGGGGAATGAGTCGGGGTGGGATGCTTTTCAGAGGGGCAGTATGGACTGGTTGGGCTGAATGGCCTATTTTCACACTGTAGGAATTCTATGATTTATGATAAATCTGTCATCCTCACCTGGTCTGGCCTAAATGTGACTCCAGATCTACAGTAATGTGTTTAACTCTCAACTGCTGTCTGAAATGGCCTAGCAAGCCACTCAGTTGTACCAAATGCTACAAAGTCACAACAAATAAATGAAACTGGATGGACCAACTGGCCTGACAGAGTTATATTCACAGAATCATAAATTACAGACAATGACACAGGCACCACCATCTCTATCCTTGGATATGTCCTGTCCTACCAGTATTTAATTGGTCATCTTGGTAACTGGTAAAAGATGTTTTTATTTTAACTGTTGCCTGTGGTGTATTGGAATGAGAGCACCAATGCCTTAGTTGTAAACAGCTGTCACTGTCTAATTTTCACATACTATCACAAAAACAGCAAGTGCTGGAGAAACTCAGCAGGTCTGGCAGCATCTGTAGAGAGGGAAAAAGAGTTAGCATTTCAAGTCCAGTGACCTTTCATCAGAGCTGTAATATACCTTCAGTGTTTTAATAGTTCTTAGCTTAGTTGACATTTATTTATTTGGATATGGCCTAGCTTCTTCAAAAGTTGCATTTAATTTTCATGAAAGTGAATACTATAATATTGATACCACAATAATGTGCTACTTATTTTGTTGCTTTGAATCTTTTTGAAAACTGGATAGGGTGATTGTTGATTAGCAGATATTGGCAGATGAATTGGTTGTGAAATATCAACCTCAGCAAGTTACAGCCTGCTCTACTTAACACTTCAGTGCCTTTGTTTTGAATATGCTGTTCAATGTAATACTAAACCCTGGTTGAGCAGGTTCTTCCTCTTCCGAAAGACTCTTCGCAGACTAAGACAGTCACTGTCCAGTGCAATATGTAAGAAACAGAAGTTAGTCAGGGTGTGACATTTTGGCAAATTAGTTTTTCTTAATGGTGCTTTTTTTTAACATAAGATTTGAAAGTCTGCTCTCGATCATCAGAATTGTGATAAGAGGTGCCGTTGACAGAATAGTGATGGAAGGTATCAGTGGCATTTACACAACAACAATTTGCTCACTGGTGCTGCAAAGTGGACTAAAGGGTTGAATTGGAGCGGTAAGGTGAGAGGGACCACCTTTATGATGAAGACTGCATTTGACTGAACGCGGTATCAAGAAGCCTGAGTAGAATTATTGTCAATGGGAACAGTGGAAAACCTCTCCACTCATTGGACTCAATATTTGCCACAAAGGAAAGCTGTTGTGGCTCTTCAACTCAACCACACAACATCGATGCATGAATTCTTTAGGCTAGTGGCCAGGCTCCAAACATCTTCATCAGTGATTTCCCTTTGTCATTTTGGGCAGAATGGCTGTTGATGATTGCACAATGTTCAGCACTGTTCACGCCTACTCAAACACAGAATTGATCTGTGTCAGAATGCAGCAAAACCTGGGCAATGTTCAAACTTAGGCTGATAAATCATAGAGATCATAGAATTCCCACAGTGTGGAAACAGGCCCTTCGACGCAACAAGTCCACACCGACCATCAGATCATCCCACCCAGACCCATCCCACATAACCCACCTAATCTACACGTCCCTGAACACTACAGGAAATTTAGCATGGCCAATCCACCTAGCCTGCACAACTTTGGACTGTGGGAGGAAACCGGAGCACTCGGAGGAAACCCACGCAGACACTGAGAATGTGCATACTCCACACAGACAGTCACCCGAGGCTGGAATTGAACCCGGGTCCCTGGCACTGTGAGGCAGCAGTGCTAACCACTGAGCCACTGTGCCACCTGACAAGTCATATTCATATTATACAAGTTCCAGGCAATTATGTTTCCAATAAGAGAGAATCTAACCATCTGCCCCTTACACTAGATGGTATTATCATTGAATATCCCACTACCAATGTCCTAAAGGTTACCATGGACCAAAAACTTAACTGGACTAGCCACAGTAAGAAGATCAGAGGTTGAGAATTCTGTGAAGAGTAACTCACTTCTTGACTTCCCAAAGCTTGTCCACCATCCGCAGACCATCAATGTGTAACAGAACACACTCATTTGCCTGAATGAGTGCAGCTTCAACTCTCAAGAAGCTCAACACCATCTGGAATAAAACGACATGTTTGATCTGAACCCATCCACAATTTAAATGTGCACTCACTCTGCCACTGACATACAGTGGCAACAGTGTGTACCATATACTGTAGCAACTGGCAAAGCCCCATTGACAATACCTTCTAATCCACACAAATTTTACCATCCAAAAGGGCACATGGACAACTTGATCTCCTGCAAATTTCCCTTCAAGTTACGTATCATCCTGTCTTAAAAATATATCATGTTCCCTAAGTGTTGTTGGGCCAAAATCCTGAAATTCCCTCCCTAAGAGCACAATGGGTCCAACTAACTCCACAGATTGTAGAGATTCAAGAAGGCAGAACGGTACCACTTTCTCATGTTCAATTAGAGATAGTAAATACTGCCTTTGCCAATGGCACCCATATCCCATGAACAATAATAGTAAAAATATGGTAATCTTCTTGCTGATGCTCATTGGTTCACATGTAAACTTAGGTCAATCTGCAGAAATACCAATTTTCTTTTGGAGTAGGACATTTTTATTGTCTCTTGTGTCAATACAGCCATCTGATTTTTTGGACTTAAGGTCGTAAACATTCTTGCAGCAACATGTCTACTAGAAGCTGCTGATTTCTTCTTGTGTCTTCTAAGTAGACCTTCTTGGAGGTGAAATGTTGCAGTTGTTCAGGAGTTAATAGTGGGACCATGTTAATGAGAACCTCCTGAAAGACCAAACCATTTAAATTTTCCCTTTAGCTGTTTTGCCAAATAAATAGACACTCAATGATTACTGAGTTATGATTGACTGCAATTAACTGTATTCCTAGTAAATTAGAGTGATCCTATGGAAAACAATTTCAAGGTTGTGCTGGCTTTGTTAGGCACTGTTGTTGCTGTTACAATTTTTGAGGTAGCCTTAAGGTTTGTTTTCAAAAGCCAGAATGTCATTCAGGGGCTAGCAACTTAAGTACATGCTCCCCAGCATAGCTCCTAGCTTTGTTGATGATATGGAGACAAGTGCCTTTTTCCTTGTTTGTACTGGTAGGAATGTTATTTTTTTCTCCTATACTGCCAGATGAGTCAAGCTGGTGTTGCTCCTCCATTTCTTCCTATAGACAAATAAAAACCGTGGAGTGTCCAATGTGAATTTCTTAAGGTTCCTTTGTAAGTCCACAATAGTAGAGTACAAGTTTTACATCTGTGAGGTCCCACATTCATCTGCCAGCATCTCTGTACTCTTTACGTTGCAAATTTATGGACTGGATTACTGGAATGGATAGTTGAATAAGACATCTTAAATTTGTTTTAAGGAGAACTAGGTAAATTCTTGTCAAAAAGTAGGATTTAGTATTCTTAAAAAGGCGAAGAGATGAGAGAGACCTGTTCGGACATGTGAGGAAAAAAATTGGCTCACCTCTTTCTAATTCCCTCTAGTTGGTCACAAAAAATGTTTTTATTTGTATGCAGCTATCGTACTTCAGTTAAAACATATTTACCTAGATCAAAATTGTGGAGCGAAATGACAAAGTCTGCTTGAGTGAAAGAAACAGTAGTTTTATTACCTACCAACCCTAAGTAAAGTAATAAAAACACATCGAATACACGCACATGTACAAACGCAGGTAATAGCTTTTAAAAAATGTCAGAGCTGGACAGTATGAATAGGGTACTCAGTTTTTTTTAGAAAAAGGTTCTTGGGGACTTTGAGATATTAGATTTTAAACGTGAGGCCAGTTGTTTAATTGTTGACTCATATTCCACAGCATTGACAAAGTTTGTAGATCCTGAGTTCGTGATGAATGGTTGTTATCCCAAGTTACTTTTTAACTGGGCATGAACTTCGAGATTGAGGGCCAGGGAGAGAACACCTTGAAGTGTCCTTGCTATTGTCACCTCACGTTGCTTTTTCTCTGCTTTGCTCCTAAAGCAGCTGTTCTCACAGGACCATTTGCAAACTCCTGAATCTGCTCTGCTGTTCTTCCTAACTGAAAGCTCCATAGTTAAACTTTCATTTCCAAGTATGTGGATTTATCATGCAATTGCACATAAAATAAAGAGATGCAAATTCCTTGACACTGACTCAGTTGACTAGTTTTTTCAGTTTTTAGATAACATGGTAGTCACAGTGTGCAGCCAGCTTTATTTATTTCATTTGATTTCTCTGGATTGACACAACCCGTGATCAGGTGACCACAGCAGCTACCCTAGTTCAGTATTTGTATGCTTTTTTAATAAAAATATTAGTCCGTGAAGGCCTCTGATATTAAAATTAGGTGATAAAAGTTTAATTACGATAGCCCATGTTTACCATTATCAGAACAGGCCTTGTTGAGATGGGTTTGAGAAACAATAATTAAATAAAGAGAGAACTAAGCAATTAAAGCATCATGGGCAACTCAAAAATGAACTAGTATTACTGGATGAGAAGAGAATGAAAGAACTGACCTGTTGTGAGATGTAATGGCAGAGACTAGAGGAATACAGAAACTGTTGTGTGGGGAGCAAAGTGACAAGTGTGCATTGGCACAATTTATTGTTCAGTAAGGAAAGGAAAAGAGCTGTAGGAATGCGAGGGTACACTTATTGTTCTTCCATGAACAGGAGGGCTTGGTTGCTGTCAGAGGACAGAGGACACAACAAAACAACACATCTCTTTACAGCATAAGCAACATATTCAAGGAGATTTGAAACTAGAATTTAAAAATCTTACGCACAAAGGTTTAAAAATACAGAAAATACAGAGCTAAGAAATAATTTTATTGTATATATGTATTTTTGCATTTACACGTTCACTGAGGAAAACACTGGGCTGTCAAGAGAAGGTGTAGGACATGATACAAATGCAGCGTTTCCTTTTTTCCTTTATCCTAACCAAGCTCTCAGAAATATTTAAACATTGATGTGCCAGCCATGACACTCGATACTTGAGTTAAATGGTTTTGTGCTCGAGACCCACTGTAGAGCACAAGCACAGCACTGCGATGCAGTTGCAAGGGTATGCTCCAGTGTCAAAAGTGCTTTTTAAATGAGATCTTAAATCAAAGCCTCTCAGGTAATGTAAAAGTTCCATGGCACTATTTTGAAGAGTAGGGAGGTATCTCTTGTATACTAGTCAATATTTATCTGTCATTCAGCATCACAAAACTGATTGCCTGGCCATTATCCAGTATTACTGCTGTTTGCTACTCTCAGATTGGCTGCTGCATTTCCTGCATTATAGCAGTGAATATACTTCAAAAGTACTTAATTAGCTACATCCAGAGTCTTGAAGGGACTAAATAAATTCACATCTTTCACTTCTTTAGATCAAATGGTCATCAGAATATGTTTTTTGCTTGCTATTTGTGATTTTTATGTAAGGAAAATTTCATTGTTTTCATTTGACTTGTATTTTATCTCTCAGGTCTTCAGGACTGTTCAGTCTGATTGATAGTCTTTGGCCTCCATTGATTTCTCCAAAGGTCCATGGCCAAAGCCAAGGCAGCCAAGAGGTAACGTGAGAGGGTTTCTTTTACTGATTTAAGACAAGGAGGTCAGTTTATTCAGGAGATATTTGGGCAGGATTTCAATTTAAGTTAGTACAAAACAGATAATGGAATCAAACGTGAGATAACAAGGTGTAGAGCTGGATGAACACAGCAGGCCAAGCAACATCAGAGGAGCAGGAAGGCTGATGTTTCGGGTCTAGACCCTAGTCTGGACCCGAAATGTCATCTTTCCTGCTCCTCTGATGCTGCTTGGCCTGCTGTGTTCATCCAGCTCTACACCTTGTTATCTCAGATTCTCCAGCATCGGCAGTTCCTACTATCTCTGTAACAATGGAATCAAATGTGATTTGGTTTTCTTGACAACAACAGGGCAAAGTTTATTTATATTCATCTTTTCCTTCACTAATATTCCTCAGTCTAGACTAAGTAAGAATGTTCATACTGCATAATAGTAGGAGTGGGAAACACTTCTCCTTTAGCAAATTTCATCAACAGAGTGACTCTTAGATATTCCTATATAAACTGAAAACTGGCAGATTCCTGCGTAAGAACAAATGGGAAGCGTTTTTCAGTATATCTATCTTTTATTCCTGCAAACACTGGGGCCAAATCTTGAATGCCAACAGCAACAAAAGGGCTGTTCAACTCCTGTATTTATTTATTTTTTTATTCTTGGGAAGTGACTGCAGTGACTGGGAACTTAAATCCTGTGTCAGATGCTGGTAAGACTTGGAAGGAAAATAAAAAAAAATTGGCCCTACTTCAAAAGAGGGCCTCCTAGAATCAAGGTGTTCACATTCTGAAAAGTCACACCCAAAATGTCTGTTGTTAAAAGCTAATTGGGTGCTGAAATTGCATTATTGCCCTTTGTTATTTGCCACACTAATAGTCTTGAATGAGTTGCAGGACTAAAGTTTCCACACAATTTCATATAAAAGGATATCACAATCTGCAGATGTTAAATGGCAACTAATGCAACTCATAATAGTGTGTGACTGTCTCCTACTGCTCCGCTTTAGATAGAAACACAATCCAGAGTTACATTGCTGCTTTTACACTGTGAATCCAAAATCACTTAGTATGAATAACAACATAGTTGCGTAACTGCAATTTAACTGAAACATAAATGGTGTTTTCCAGCTTTTTTTCGTGTTTGACTTAAAATTCTTTTAACAGCCTTCGGCAAATGGATTAAGATCCTTGTTCTGGAGCCATTTCTCAAATTTGCTAAATACAGCCAAATGTAAAATGGACCAGAAAATATATATATTTTAGTTGCTATTATAGCAATTAGTAGTAACTTTGAAATTAAACTGACCATTGAAACATTGCATGGTATTAGGCCCATGATCATTTTCAACAAAGTGAAACAACCAAAATTCACTTCTTAACATGATATGGACTGCAGTGGTCAAAGAAAATGGTTCACCACTTTGTGAAGGAAATTTAGGGATAGGCAACAAACACTAGTATTTCTAGTGAAGCTAACATCCTTGACCAATTTTAAAAAAAAATCTTCACTTTCCTTGTTAAACTTGTCTGATATGTTTCTTTCATAAAAAATCCATTACTTGGTTGATTACTTTCACTGTATTGAAGGTGATTAATAAAATTTTAAAAATTCTGTTTGCATTAAATGCATTACAATTTTTAACAAAAAAATCTTTAACGGTTCTAGCGATGCTTGTAAGCGTGGGAGCGTAGGACTTAAGAACTGAAGGAGAGGTAGGATATTTGACCCTTTAAGCCAGCTCTGCCATTCAGTAAGATCATGGCTTATCCGTTGTTGGTCTGAACTCCAGTTCCCTCTGCCCTATTAACTTGGACTCCCTTGTCTATCAAAAATCCATCTAACTCAGCCTTAAAAAACATTAATGATTCAGCCTCCACTGTTCTCTAGGGAAGAGAATTCTGCAGACTTACATCTTTCTGAAAGAAAATAATTCTCATCATCATCTTCTATGGCGGCACAGTGGCTCAGTGGATAGCACTGCAGCCTCTTGGCGCCAGGGACCTGGGTTTGATTCCACCCTTGGAATCCTCTCTGTGTAGAGTTTGCACGTTCTCCCTGTGTCTGCATGAGTTTCTGCCGGGTGCTCCAGTTTACTCCCACAGTCCAAAGATGTGCAAGTTAGGTGGATTGACAGTGTAAATTGCCCATGGTGTTGAAGGATGTGTAGGTTAGCCATGGGAAGTGCAGGGTTACAGGGATAGGGTAGGGGATGGGTCTGAATGGAATGCTGTTCGGAGAGTCGGCGTAGGCTTCTGGGCTGAATGACCTGTTTCCACACTGTAGGGATTCTAGGAATTCTTCTCAAAAGCAGGCCCACTTCTTAAACTGAACAAGAGGAAACATACCCAAAGAATCCATTCTATCCAGTCTTCAGGATCTTATATTTTTTTAATAAAATCATTTATCATTCATTTAAACTCCAACCTTTCCAAGCTTTCTTGATTAGATAAGCACGTTATCCCAAGAATGAATTGAGTGAACCTTCTTTATGCATGCTTTCATCATGTCTCCTTTATTGTCATCAGAAAGTGACAATTCCCTTCCAATTGTCAATGCTCACATTCATAAATAGAGAAAAAAAATGTGGAAAGCATTCAGTCTGTTGCAATATTTGCAATTATGAATAAAACTAATATGTCTAACACAGGGTAATGTTTTTTTCTAGCTCATAGATTTGACCACTGATGTACAATTGCCTGCTCCAAGTTTTTGCTATGTTCTTGCACCTCTTCCAGGGGAGGGGGGAATAAATGTGCTTCAGGATGAAAATGTCTCTAACCTCTACCGGCCTTCAGCATTGCACAATTTAAAGCATATTCTTCAGGTAATTGAATGATCTATGAATATGTCAAATAATTTCAGACTTCAATGTAAGAATTGATTTTGGTCCTGTTTGTGATAATGGTGTGAGCAAAATATTTGATCTACTTAGTTGTTTCAATCTATTAGCCTTAATTATTGCAGAGTCCAATATAAAAATTCTATCCTTTTAAAATTAAATTAATAAAACAGCAGGTATGACACTGTGTGATGAACTAGATGACCTGGATTAAAAGCCAGCTTCTGCAGAAAATTTAGACTGAGGCTTATTCCAGCTTGTCAATGTGACTCGAGACATAAGGGTCTTAATAATTTAGGGGTAGCTATTTAAGTTGTGTACAAGCTAAGAATATTTTCTAAATGTCACAGAGGTGGTTTATGTCGCAAGTGTCCTTTAAGTCAAGGTAGGTTGCTTGAGTGCAGGAACATAATGGCATAAAGGAAAGCGAAAGATACAACATGAATATGATAATTGTTTTAAATTTGAGAACAATTATTTTATCCAGTTTTTTGTTATTTTACACATCTGGCATTTAGTAATGTAACAGTTTATTCCTCGTGTGATAGAACATATAATACTTCTATATTCAAAGTGTTAGGACTGGAGTTGTTTTAATTGTCCACCTGTGGATCACTCATTCCAACTACCAAGATTATTGCAATTATTGCAATGTTACATTTTGGCCCTTTCACCCAGTGTGTTTCCACCATTAAAGGATTTTGGAACTGACTTTTGGCATTGTATTTTAAAGCAAAATAATTTGCACCATTTTTTTTATAGTATAGTTAGAAGGTATAAACATTTAATGTCTACTTAAATCTGATGAGCTACTTTGGAAGTGTCACAGTTCACATCTATCATCCCTCACAAACCATTTACCCAGGATAGCTAAGTGGAGTAAAGTAATTTGATGTCATAATCCAGGTGGGCAACAAATATTTATAAGCATACTGAGGAGGGTGATTTCATTCATGTGCGCCCACTACACGATCTGTGGAGAGTATACACCTGTGCAAAAGACTAGTAACTTCGTTTGACAGATTGTTGGAGATTCCTGCCTGGGAAAATAGCAGAGACATTGCCTTTTTTGACTTCATTGAGGTTTTGGAAAAAGAGCTGCAAGACACAATCTTGGGCCTTTAGGTGGAAGCTAAAAACATGAGAGTTTAACTTTTCAAAAAAAAAAATTACCTACAGAACAGAAAGTGCAAAAAGCAATCAGTCAGTCCACCCTACTCCCCCCCTGACCCCATTTTATAGTGACATCAATGTGGAAAGCTGCAGGCGTTGTGCAGGTATTTCCTATTGGTGCTGTCTACCTCCAGAGAATCTACATAGTCTGTGTAGTACCGCTTTGAAACAATATCCAGTTCTAATTAAAATAGGGTACTTTTATTATATACCTGAGTTTAACTAGTTGCACTATAAACAGTTGGGCACAGTTGAAATCATTTATAAATGTGTCTTTCTTGATTTTAGGATTTTCCGAAGTACTTTACAGAAATTAAGTACTTTTTAAATGCAGTATTGTTATAATTTGGAAACATAACAAATAGGAGCACATTCAACTTGTGCTGCGTTTCAGTATAATCATGGCCAAGCTTAATCTTCATCTCCACTTTCCTGCCTGTCTCTTATATGTCCTGATTTTTTGAGAAACCAAATCTGTATCTATTCTAGCCTTAAATGTATTTAACAATGAAACATTCACAATCATTTGGGGTAGGCAATTCTGAAGATTCACAGCTTTTTGAATGAAGTACTTCCTCCTCACAGTCCTAAATAATGAGCCTCTTATCCTGAGGCTGTTCTTATGTTTTAAACTCTCGGACCAACAGAAACAATCACTTAGCATCTACTTTATGTCATGAATATTTAGTCAGAAGTCACACTTCACCTGATGAAGGGGCAACGCTGTGAAAGCTTGTGATTTCAAATAAACCTGTTGGACTATAATCTGGTATCCTGAGATTTAGAACTTTGTCCACCCTAGTCCAACCCCAGCACCTCCACACCATGAATATTTAGTACATGATTCATATGTTTTACAATATAATTTTTAGTTTTAGGAGTCAAAGTTTTAACTGTAGAAAATGTGGGTTTTGGGTGGAAAAAGTGATAAAAAGACACCATGAAGTAATTGCAATTCTAATAAATTTGGAGTTTTCACATTTAAAAAGTTGGGCCCCTGATGAATTAAGAGGTTACCAAAAATGTAATAGCATAAGAAGCAAGCAGGCTTACCTAGTTACAGAGCCAAATGATATTTGCAGTTATTCCAGTGAAGTATAGATTATTCATGTGGTTTACCAGAATTAAGGAAATCTTTGGAATTAAAAGATAATTTGCATATCTATGTGTCACATTTCCATGGGGATAGATGGAACTTCGTGAGATTCTTTGTTAGGGCTTAGGCAACACATAAGACTGGTTAATTAGTTGCAGTCTTGCTCGCCGAGCCAGTGTGTTTGAAAGCATACGTTTCATCACCCTGCTCGGTAACATCATCAGTGCGCCTCTGGTGAAGCGTTGGTGTTCCGTCCCGCTTGTTATTTATATGCCTCGGTTTGCTGGGGTGGTTGATATTACTTCCGGTTTTGTTCTTCAGCGGTGTGTATCTCGGGTCCAGGTCAATGTGTTTGTTAATGGAGTTCCAGTGGAATGCCAGGTCTCCAGGAATTCCCTGACATGTCTCTGGCTTGTGCTTTTATGGATGTGTTGTCCCAGTTGACAGATCTTCTCAAAAACTTTAAACTGGTTGATTATTTTTGTATGAAAATCAATTAATAGACTATGACAACTTCAAATGCCATGTGGTTTGTAACTGCTTGGAAGTCGAAAGATAAAACCACAGTTACACCTGAAGTAGAATAGGTGCTAGATCTATCATTCATGACACAAACTGGAAGATAGACGAAGTTGGAAAGGAGAGAAATGATTGGCAGTTGCAAGCTAACGGAAGAAATCTCCAGTAATTATCTTTAAAAGGCAGTTAAACATGTTGTTGGCATATTGAATGTACTTAGTTTGGTTGTAGTTTGAAATCAAAGCAATGGTCTGTTGGAAACCAGGAATGTTTTCCAATGTTTTAAGCAAGTTGGCAGAGTTGCAAAGCGATCCCTGATTGAGGTGTGCAACCTAGACCCACGAGACTGGTAAAGAAGTTAGGGGATCATTTAGCAAAGACCATCATGAAATCTTGTACCTTGATGAATAACTGGAACACTGAAGAGAAATCAGAGTGAATTCCAGAAAGTGGTGCTTAGGTTGTTTACAGGAAAAGTGAATGAAAATTAAAGATTTGATGCAATAAGTGAACCCTTGGGGAATTAGAAAAGTATGAATGAGATTATAACATAAGACTTTATCAACCACAACATTAAGATATGGTGCTTACATTGCTTAATGTTTTTTTTTCTTAAAATATTTGAAGAAAAAGACTGGGTAGATAAAGATAAACTATTTCCACTGGTAGGATTTCCAGAAATAGGAATATAGTTTGGGCCAGACCATTCAATTGAGATGTTAGGAAGCAGTTCTACACACAAAGGGTGGTAAATGTTTGGAACTTCTTTCCACAAATGGCAGTGGATACTGGATCAGTTGTTAATTTTAAATCTGAAATGAATATTTCTTTGTTAAGTAAAGGTATTAAGGGATATGGACCAAAAGCAGGGCTATGGGCCAAAGGCAGGTATATGGAGTTAGGTCATCGATCGGCCATGATCTCATTAAATGATGGAATAGGCTCGAGGAGCTGAATGGCCTACTCCTGTTCCTATGTTCCTGTATTCCACCCCTGAGTTCCTGCCTTTGTGTTTCATCCTGCACCCAGTGAAATGAGACATTTGCCCTTTGCCACCCACTGGCATGATCTTCCTTGGCCTCCTTACTGCATGGTAGCCATTTTTCCGCTGAATAGTCCCTTTTGTCCTAAATGGTGGCGTTCATTGGAAGAAGGCAGCTCATTGCCACCTTCTCAGGTGCAACATGGGACAGGCAGTAAATGCTGGCTCAGCCACACCCCACGAGTGAATAAAACATATTGTAGTGTAGTTGTATTGGCAAACTGATGAGTGTTTTTTTTTTGAAGATTAACAATCCCTAACAGGATTGTAATGCCTGTCAACACAATCAGAATCTTTTGTGTTTCAATGAGATTGTCCTTCATTCTCCTAAACTCCAGGGCTAGTGTACTTAGCCCAACGTTATAGGACAACTTCCTCACCCCAGGGACCAATTCAGTGAACCTTCGCTGTATCACCTCCAATTACATATGGAGACCAAAGCTGCACACAGTAATATGTGGCCTCACCAAAGCTATGTACAGTTGTAACAAGACATTTTTATTTCTGTCCTCCAATCTCCTTGCAAAGGCCTCTTTCCCATTGCTATTATTTGCTGTACTGACTTTCTGCGTCATTTGCAGGAGCACTGGCAAATCTCTGTGAATCAACATTTTTAAAAAAGTTTTTAAAAAATCCTGATTTTCTTTAATTCTGACAACTAAAGTAAATACCTTACATTTACCCCCAGTATACTGAAGTTTATTTTGGTCCTTCCGGATAACCTATCTATATCACTTTGCATTCTGTCTGTGTCCTCCCCACAAGTTACTTTTCCAGTTGACTTTGTATCATCAGCAGACTTGGATGTATTAGTCTCTGTCACTTCATCTTAAGAGTGCAATCCCATATGTAATTTTAATTTTAAAGACCTGACATGAAAATTTTCTGTACTTATGAATGTCTCCTTTATATTCACCTGAATTGTAGTTCGACTTGCATTCAAATCAACTTGCAAACAGATTCAAGAACAGAACCCATTCCCAACCCAGGGACTACCTGTTACCTATAAAATGCTAAGCTCACAAAACTGTAAGACATTGGAACAGAAGTAGTCTGTTCAGCCCATCAAGTAAGTTCCACCATTCAGTGAGATCATGGTTGCTCTAATAATCCTTAAACTCACTTTCTTGCCTTATTTCCAGAACCCTTGATCCTTACTGACTAAAAATCTATGTCGGCCTTGAATATACGTAGCAACCCAGCCTCGAATGCCTTCTGTGACAGAGAATTCTACAAACTTACTACCTTCTGAGAAAATAAAATTCCACCCCATCTCTGTCTCAAATGGGCAATCGCTTACTGTAAGATTATGCAGTCTGGTCCTAGACCCTCCCACAAAGGGAAGCAACCTGGCCACATCTACCTTATCAAGTCTTCTAAGAATCCTGCTGGAAAAGCTCAGCAGATCCGGCAGTTTGTACAAACTGACATTTTTCTAGCTACCATCAGTTCTGAGGAAGGGTCATTCGACCTGAAACGTTAACTCTGATTTCTCTCCATGGATGCTGCCAGACCTGCTGAGCTTTTTCAGCAATCTCTGTTTTTGTTTCTGATTTACAGCATTCACAGTTCTTTTGATTTTTTTTCCCAAAAGAATCTTATATGTTTGAATAAGATCACCTCTCATTCTTCAAAACTCCAGTGAGTACATGTCCAACTGACTCAACTTCTGTCCAAGCACAGTCTGTCATACCCAGAATCAAACTAGTGAACCTACTCTGGATTATCTCCAATCCCAGTATATCTTTTCTTAGAAAACAGTTCACAATATTCCAAATATTGTGTGTTAGTGCCTTGTATAGTTTTCCTCCCTTTTTTTTACTCTATTCTCATTGAAATGAAGGCAAATAGACTGTTGGCTTTTCCTATTACCTGCTAACTTTTTGTGATTCGTGGGTGAGGACCCCCAAATTTCACTTTTCTGAAGCTTTCTGCATTTTGCCCCGTTTAAATAATATTCTATTCTTCTGTTCTATTCTTCTTGACTAAGTGTATAATCTCACATTTTCCTATGTTATATTCCATCTGCCAAGTTTTTGCCACTGACTTAATCTGTCTGTATGAGTGGACAAAAACATAGTAGTCAATTTTCAGGTCCCAGCACTGACCTTGCAGCTCTCTATTTGTCATAGCCTGCCAACTTGAAAGTGCCCTGCTTTATGCCTATGCTTGGCCTCCTGTCTGATAACCTATCCTCTCCTCACATTCATCTGTTACCAATCTCAGTGAATCCATATCTTGCATGTTAACTTTTATATGGCATCCTATCAGATGCCTTTTGGAAATCCATATTTCTCTTTTCTCTTTCTACCCCACGTGTTACATCCTCAAAATGCAAGACCAAGTTTGTCAGACAAGGCTTCCTTTTTGTAAAGTCATCTTGTTCTTTTCAAATGTTTAAAAATGCTTTTCTAAGTGCATTGTTATGGTTTTCTTAGTAACAGATACCAGCATTTTCCCAACAATTGATGTTTGCTAACTGGCTGGTAATTCTCTATTATCTATCTCCCTTTTTTCTTGCAAGGTGGCAAACATTTCAGGGCATTTAAAAAAAATCTGTAGCTGAGTAGGGTAGACCTGAACTTTTTTGTATCCATTGTCAAATGTATTTAATATATAGCATTCAAGAAAAGTTGTGTTCCATTGATTGAAAATGGTAAAGGTAAGCATTACAACAATTGCCGTAACTTAAAATAATCCTTTGGCCTACATTAAACTTTATGGTTTTTAGGAAGCAGAATGTTTTATTTGATATACAAGCTATTGGTATTATGTACATCCAGGTAATTTGAATGACTAATTCCTGATCATGCAGCAAATGTCAATGCTTATTTAAGGCAGTATAACATTTTACTTAAATTTTGCCATCTTTTTCTACTTAATTTCAGCATATTCCTCAAAGAAATCGATGTAGTTTCAATGCAGAAGTCATTTACACCAGGTTCCAGGTATAAGCATGCATTTTAATCACATACTTTTAAAAATGCCAATGTACAATGAATATTTTTATGTTTGTAGAGCTGTTGATTAATTATTTTTAATCGAGAATATGGGCATATGTTGGATAAATGTTAACTGTTCATTGTCAATCTAATTCTGCAAAGTTCCAATGGCTGTTGTAGTATCAGAGATGCAAAGATGGAACTGAACCCTAAAATTGTGAGCTGAAATCTGCACTACTGATCTTGTGATGTGGAAAAATCATTGACAGACAAGCAGAAGGAATTTGGACTGGGGATGCTCCTGAAATAGAACATAGAACATTACAGCGCAGTACAGGCCCTTCGGCCCTCGATGTTGCGCTGACCTGTGAAACCAATCTGAAGCCCATCTAACCTAAACTATTCCATTATCATCCATATGTTTATCCAATGACCATTTAAATGCCCTTAAACTTGGCAAGTGTACTACTTCTGCAGGCAGGGCATTCCACGCCCTTACTACTCTCTGAGTAAAGAACCTACCTCTGACATCTGTCCTATATCTATCACCCCTCAATTTAAAGCTTTGTCCCCTCGTGCAAGCCATCACCATCTGAGGAAAAAGGCTCTCACTGTCCACCCTATCTAATCCTCTGATCATCTTGTATGTCTCTATCAAGTCACCTCTTAACCTTCTTCTCTCTAACGAAAACAGCCTCAAGTCCCTCAGCCTTTCCTCATAAGACCTTCACTCCATACCAGGCAACATCTTGGTAAATCTCCTCTGCACTCTTTACAATGCTTCCACATCCTTCCTATAATGCGGCGACCAGAACTGTACGCAATACTCCAAGTGTGGCCGCACCAGAGTTTTGTACAGCTGCAACATGACCTCATGGCTCCGAAACTCAATCCCTCTACCAATAAAACCTAACACACCGTACGCCTTCTTAACAAACCTATCAACCTGGGTGGCAACTTTCAGTGATCTATGTACATGGACACCGAGATCTCTCTGCTCATCCACACTACCAAGAGTCTCACCATTAGCCCAGTACTCTGTATTCCTGTTACTCCTTCCAAAGTGAATCACCTCACACTTTTCCGCATTAAACTCCATTTGCCACCTCTCAGCCCAGCTCTGCAGCTTATCTATGTCCCCCTGTAACCTGCAACATCCTTCCGCACTATCCACAACTCCACCGACTTTGGTGTCATCTGCAAATTTACTAACCCATCCTTCTACGCCCTCATCCAGGTCATTTATAAAAATGACAAACAGCAGTGGCCCCAAAACAGATCCTTGAGGTACACCACTAGTAACCGAACTCCAGGATGAACATTTCCCATCAACCACCACCCTTTGTCTTCTTACAGCTAGCCAATTTCTGATCCAAACCGCTAAATCACCCTCAATCCCATGCCTCCGTATTTTCTGCAATAGCCTACCATGGGGAACCTTATCAAACGCTTTACTGAAATCCATATACACCACATCACCCGCTTTACCCTCATCCACCTGTTTGGTCACCTTCTCAAAGAACTCAATAAGGTTTGTGAGTCACGACCTATCCTTCACAAAACCGTGTTGACTATCCCTAATCAAATTATTCCTTTCTAGATGATTATAAATCCTATCTCTTATAATCCTTTCCAACACTTTACCCACAACCGAAGTAAGGCTCACTGATCTATAATTACCAGGGTTGTCTCTACTCCCCTTCTTGAACAAGGGGACAACATTTGCTAGTCTCTAGTCTTCTGGCACTATTCCTGAAGACAATGACGACATAAAGATCAAAGCCAAAAGCTCTGCAATCTCCTCTCTAGCTTCCCAGAGAATCCTAGGATAAATCCCATCCGGCCCAGGGGACTTATCTATTTTCACACCTTCCAGAATGGCTAACACCTCCTTCTCATGAACCTCAATCCCGTCTAGTCTAATAGCCTGTATCTCAGTATTCTCCTCGACAACATTGTCTTTTTCCTGTGTGAATACTGACAAAAAATATTCATTTAGCGCCTCTTCTATCTTTTCGGACTCCACGCACAACTTCCCACTACTGTCCTTGACTGGCCCTAATCTTACTCTAGTCGTTCTTTTATTCCTGACATACCTATAGAAAGCTTTAGGGTTTTCTTGATCCTACCTGCTAAAGACTTCTCATGTCCCCTCCTGGCTCTTCTTAGCTCTCTCTTTAGGTCCTTCCTGGCTAACTTGTAACTCTCAAGCGCCCTAACTGAGCCTTCATGCCTCATCTCTACATAAGCCTCCTTCTTCCTCTTGACGAGAGATTAAACTTCTTTAGTAAACCACGGTTCCCTCGCTCGACCACTTCCTCCCTGCCTGACAGGTACATACTTCTCAAGGACTCGCAGTAGCTGTTCCTTGAACAAGCTCCACATTTCAATTGTGCCCAGCCCCTGCAGTTTCCTTCTCTATCCTCTGCATCCTAAATCTTGCCTAATCGCCTCATAATTGCCTTTCCCCCAGCTATAACTCTTGTCTTGTGGTATATACCTATCCTTTTCCATCGCTAAAGTAAACGTAACTGAATTGTGGTCACTATCACCAAAGTGCTCCCCCGCCTCCAAATCTAACACCTGGCCTGGTTCATTACCCAGTACCAAATCCAGTGTGGCCTCGACTCTTGTTGGCCTATCTACATACTGTGTCAGGAAACCCTCCTGCACACATTGGACAAAAACTGACCCATCTAAAGTACTCGAACTGTAGCGTTTCCAGTCAATATTTGGAAAGTTAAAGTCCCCCATAACAACTACCTTGTTACTTTCGCTCCTATCCAGAATCATCTTTGCAATCTTTTCCTCTACATCTCTGGAACTTTTCGGAGGCCTATAGAAAACTCCCAACAGAGTGACCTCTCCTTTCCTGTTTCTAACCTCAGCCCATACTACCTCAGTAGACGAGTCCTCATCAAACGTCCTTTCTGCCACCGTAATACTGTCCTTGACTAACAATGCCACACCTCCCCCTCTTTTACCACCTTCCCTGTTCTTACTGAAACATCTAAACCCCGGAACCTGCAACAACCATTCCTGTCCCTGCTCTATCCATGTCTCCGAAATGGCCACAACATCGAAGTCCCAGGTACCAACCCATGCTGCAAGTTCACCCACCTTATTCCGGATGCTCCTGGCATTGAAGTAGACACACTTCAAACCACCTTCCTGACTGCCAGTACACTCCTGCGACCTTGAAACCTTATTCATGACTTCACTACTCTCAACCTCCTGTACACTGGAGCTACAATTCAGGTTCCCATCCCCCTGCTGAATTAGTTTAAACCCTCCCGAAGAGCATTAGCAAATTTCCCCCCCAGGATATTGGTACCCTTCTGGTTCAGGTGTAGACCATCCCGTTTGTAGAGGTCCCACCTACCCCAGAATGAGCCCCAATTATCCAGGTATCTGAATCTCTCCCTCCTGCACCATCCCTGTAGCCACGTATTCAACTGCTCTCTCTCCCTATTCCTCGCCTCGCTGGCACGTGGCACGGGTAACAAACCAGAGATAACAACTCTGTTTGTTCTAGCTCTAAGCTTCCACCCTAGCTCCTTGAATTTCTGCCTTACATCCCCATCCCTTTTCCTACCTATGTCGTTGGTGCCTATGTGGACCACGACTTGGGGCTGCTCCCCCTCCCCCTTAAGGATCCTGAAAACACGATCCGAGACATCACGGACCGTGGCACCTGGGAGGCAACACACCAACCGCAAGTCTCTCTCGTTCCCACAGAATCTCCTATCTGTCCCCCTAACTATGGAGTCCCCAATGACTAATGCTCTCCTCCTCTCCCCCCTTCCTTTCTGAGCAACAGGGACAGACTCTGTGCCAGAGACCTGTACTCCATGGCTTACCCCTGGTAAGTCGTCCCCCCCAACAGAATCCAAATGATATCCTAAGTTGCATTAAATGACCTTTAACAATTAAAGCTTTCATTTTTGTTTTTGAAATGACTACAGGTAATAAGAGTTTACCTTTTGTTAGACCTCCTTCGTGTCATATTCGGTTCAATAGTGCCTTGCGGTCAAAAAAGCAGCTCTGACCATTCCTCTGGTATTCAGCTCCTATATCCACATATGAAGCAAGACTGTGATAAGATGTGGAACCAAATGACAGAATCCAAACTGACCGTTGGTGAATTGATGATTCCTTCCATCACTTAATTGATTGAATGGAAATTTAAGAATAGCAATTTGCTTCTTTAAATTTACACTTAGGTTTTATAATTTGAGCAATTTTCAATATTATCTTGTACCTGCTTTTGCCATAGTTGCATTTGAACAGCTTGGTAGTTAGTTCTGATGTTTATGGCCACTAGTATTTCACATGCAGCCTTTGCTAGCATGTAGAAAGTTTGAATAATATGTTTTTAAGAACATGCGAACAATAGAATTTAGGAACAACAGCAGGCCATTTGGCCCCTCAATCCTGAGCCGTGATTTGATAGGATCATGGCTGATCTAATCAACTTTCCTTTCCTACGTGCGCAGTATAAGAAATAGCAGCAGAATTATGCCATTCGGCCCATCAAGTCTGCTATTTGAATGTGACTGAAATGTTTCTTACCCCCATTCTTCTGCCTTCTCCTGTATCCCTTGATCCCCTGACCAATCAAGAACCTATCTATTTCTGTCTTAAATACACTAAATGACTTGGTCTCCATAGACCTTGGCAGCAATGAGTTCCATAAATTAATCACCCCCTGGCTGAAGAAATTCCGTCTCATCTCCATTCTAAAGAACCATCCCTTCGCTGTAAGGCTTTGTCCTCAGGTCCCACTCTTTCCTTCTAGTGGCAACATTTTCTCCACCTCCACTCTATGCGGGCCTCTCAGTATTCTATAAGTTTCAATCAGATCTCTCCTTATTCTTCTAAACTCTATTGAGTACTGACCCAGAGTCCTCAACTGTTCCTCACATGACAAGTCCTTCATCCCCAGGATCATTCTTGTAAACCTCCTCTGGACCCCCTCGAACGCCAGCACATCCTTCGTTAGATTT